CCACACACAACAGTGTGCAACCTCCCCCGCCCCCCAAACAAACAAACAAACAAACAAAAAACAACAAAAACAAAACCCAAACAAACAAAAACAAAGCAAAAAAGCAATCCCATAAAATATATGAATAAAACCTGAGTCACGTAATGCATGCTGCCCCTGTGCTTTGCACTAGAAGATGCTAAGAGTCTATCATACACATAGAATCATAGAAAATTAGGGTTGGAAGGGGACTCAGGAGGTCATCTATTCAACCCCCCTGCTCAAAACAGGACCATCCCCAACTAGATCGTCCCAGCCAGAGCTTTGTTGAGCTGCGCTTTAAAAACCTCCAAGGATGCAGATTCCACACCTCTCTAGATAATCCATTCCAGTGCTTCACCACCCTCCTAGTAAGAAAGTATTTTCTCAATATCTAACCTAAACGTCCCTTGTTGCAACATGACACCATTACTTCTTGTTCTGTCATCTGCCACCACTGAGAACAGTCTAGCTCCTTCCTCTTTGTAAACACCGTTCAGGTAGTTGAAGGCTGATATCAAATACCCCCTCAGTCTTCTCTTCTGCAGACTAAATAAGCCCAGTTCCCCCAGCCTCTCCTCGGAAGTCATGTGCCCCAGCCCCCTAACCATTTTCATTGCCCTCTGTTGGATTCTCTAACTTGTCCACATCCTTTCTGTATCTTTTGAGACATGCACTGAGAAAGAGAATATGCAGAAGATAGAACTTTGTGAAGTATGTGTCCTTAAAGCCTTGTCAGAAGCATGCAGCTTTCAGTTTTTGTTAAGCCATCTGTTTTGAAATTCATGGGATCCACAGAGCTAGCAGGATACATATACCAGGGAACACATAACCACTGATGCTCAATGAGTGGCCCACAGGGAAGCTACTCTTAACGCACAGAAATTCAAGGAGTCAGGGCACCTGAGATCCAGTAAGCAGGGTGCCAACTGTAGATCAGCAGAGCTGCAATGCACCAAATGTTTTCAATGTGCAATAAGGGCACACACCAATGAGCCTCAGTGGAGGTGTCGACATGCTAACATATTTGACACAGGCGCTAATGTGCCAAGGACTTTAATGAAGTACATGCATGCAGAAGAGCTGGCAGAGGAGCAGAGGCCCCAGTGCACAAGAGACACAATGCAGACAACTTTGGAAAAGATGTGATGGGCAAAGGAATTTGTACAGGCATTAAAAGATCCTGGAACGTAATAAGTGCTAGAGGCAGAAGTTGATACACAGAGGCAAATGATGCACTGATTTGCTTTCCGCTGTGGCCAGTAAGGAGTCAGAAAGTGAAAGATATTAAAAGAAAAGCAAGAGGCAAGCAACTCAAGCTGCTTACAGATATTAAAAAGCCAGAAAATCCCAGCACTTTACTTTAACTTGGAGCACTCCTATGCCAAGCCTAGCACATGCCCAGAAGAGGCATCACATTAGTTGGACCCAGCTTGCCTGACTTCTGTATAGATTGGGCTCTTTAGTGAGGCTTTTTTGGCGCTTTTATCTAATAGCTGATTGCATCAGCTTTAAATAAAAGCACTACAAATCCCCGCTGAAGTACCTGATCTATAGACGCTGCAGAGTCGGGTCAAACTGATGTGCTGCTGCTTCTGGTAAAGCGTATTTTTTGGGGTTTTTTTTAAATGTCTATAAGCAGCCTCAGTGTTCAAATAAAAAGGTAGTTTAGCAGGTGAGAGAGAGTAAGTGGCAGCCATGGTGTAGCTTCCTCAGCTCAATGCTCTGAGATAAATTATAAATGTAAAGCCCAAATTTCTGTCCCACTACATTTGTTGACAAAGTCAGCTCTGCAGTACTGAGAGTTGTGCATGGATATGACATACCCAGTGGGGTCCAGCCATTCAATAACATGCCTATGGATAAGTGCCCAATCACACTCATATATATATATATATATATATAGCCATGACTAGCAATATGTAGTAAAGAAAGCTTAGCAAAATATCCAAAAATATAATAGTATGATATATTCCAATGTATCAAATACAAATGAAAATATATGTATAGAAACAGCAACAGAAATAGGAATGGAAATAGGTATTTCTTATTCACCTGATAAGGTGGGAAGTAAGTTAGCCATCTTTCTATATGGGTGGCATACCATCCAGGTACTAGACATCTCTTCTGTAGCACTCTAAGCTCTGATGGAGCTCGAGGTCCAGCTGTGATCACCTGATAGAAGCTAAACTTTAGAGCTGCGGGGTCTTCATGCGACCGTTGATGCTGTAAAAAAAAAAATTACAGGAACATCATAAATATTCAAGTTCAAAGTCAGGGAAATAAGACAGAATGGGGTGGACAAACAATGTTAACCATCCAAAGACCAGACCAGTATTAAACATGACAAATCTGAACACACAAAATAGATATTTAGTTCATTGTATAACCAAACCCAACATCATGAACTCAAATATGGTAAAAATCCATACAGGGCCAAATCTTGAAGTCCTTACATGGTATATATTCAGATAAATCTCTTACTGAAGAAGAGTTATCTTATAGATTAGGGGTGTCCAACTGTTGGTCCGTGGGCCACATGCAGTCCACAAGGGGTTAAGTTGTGCCCCCCTAGCTCCCATCTGTCTGCTGCTCCCCGGGGAGTTTCTGGGCTCCAGCTCTATCCTTTTGCTTCTGCATTCTGTGCCCCAGGGTTACAGTGTGATATGGCATGGCCCAGGGAGCTCAGGATGAGGATGGGGCCGTGTGGCATGCAGTAAAGTAGTGAGGGGGGCATCCATATGGGATTACTGTAGTGGTGGGAGGGTGTCACAGGGCTGTGCTGTGCAGCTTATCCACTTTCTGGATAAGCAATGTATCCAGGAAGTGGGGCATCCATACAGTGCCCAGGGCCCCGTAATCTCTGTCAGGGACATGTGACCCCCAGCTGCTCAAGATAGTCGAGATAGATGATGGATATTTTTTGCTTATGGGAACAGTAATATAAATAATATTTATATACAAAGTATGTAAAATAAATCCTAAGGTCCTTATGCAGTTTTTACTCTTACCTAATTTATCAAATTCCCATTGAAACAGAAGAACCAGAAGAAAGGGATCTCCTTTGGAATAAGGACCCACAATTAAAACTAAGAGTAGTACTGGACATACATCTGTCTGTTCTGAGCAGCTCCTACTCTTTCAAATAACTCAGGCATAGAGACCAGATGCCTTGGTGATAGGCAATTCAACAACATTTACAGATAAAATCATTTAATACAGGCAGTCCTTGACTTACGTTTCGAATTACAATGTTTCGCACTTACAATGTTTATAAATTGACATCCTGTTTCAACTTTATGACGTCAGTTTCAACTTTACAACGCTTGATCTGATGCAACGCCATGCCAGCGAACAAGTTCGCTGCGTCGCTCATCTCCCTGGAGAACATCTGTCCAAACTCCTTTGGAGCCTTTCTTTAAGAAAGCAGACAAGAATCCAGAAAAACCTGCAGTCAAGACTCCCGAGAAGAATCCAGCCAAGAACCCTCCAAAACATGCAACCAAGAGCCCTTCAAAAAGTCCAGCAAAGTCACCTCAAAGAAGCCCTTCCAAATCAATATGATTGCTCTTTACAATATAAATACATTAATATAGCTATATTACTCATCTATAATTGATCGAGTACAAAATTCTGGGGTATTTTTTGTGAAGGGTATTGGGCTTTGGTTCAGGAACCAATTCCCCATTTATAACATTGTTTTTTATGGGAAAATTGGTTCCAAGTTACAACATTTCGACTTTCAGGAACCACTTGTGTCATAAGTCTGAGGACTGCCTGTACTGTATTGACTCAAATCCAAGGTAAGATTTTCTGCCCCAAATCAGCATGGATTGGGGGGGAGCCTTGTCTTAGATTTGAATATAGATTCAGGATGGCTCAGCTATGGGTTTGAAGCCAGAGCTGAGCTGCTGCCTGCTTTGGGCTAGGGTGACTTGTTTGGTTGGTGAGGGGAGGAGTGGGCTTGCAGCTGGAGGAGCATGGGGGAGATGCAGGGTGTGTAGGGGGGACTGAGAAAGACCTGTATATGTGGCTTAAGGGGAATGTGGGGGATACTGCACAGCCTGTGTGCCACCAGCTGCCCCCTCCCCACCTTACCTCTGGCTCCAGTCCCTCCAGCCCTGACTTACTGGTTGGGCTGGGGCTGCCACTGTTGCTGGCTGCCCTGGAGCCAAAGCAGAGCTGCAGCAGAATGGGAATGGGGGAGGGTGGTGAGACAGTCATGGGAGGATAGGCATCAGGGGGCATCTAGTCAGGGAGACAGGCACAGGCATGGGGGGCAAAGGGCAGGGGGACAGGCAGGGAATGCAATGGGTCAGGAAGGCAAGGAGCAAGGTTTGGCCACTTGACCTCTGCTGCTGTTTTTCTTGCCACAGCAGGAACGACAAATTTAAGACAACCTTCCACTATTTAGATCTATACATGGAAAATTGTAACACACTTATAATTTTCGACATATAGAACTTAATTATTGGGGATCTTATCTGGGTTGTCTTGGATTTGGGTAAATGCTGTAAAACAGATTACGCAAAGAGGTTGTGGAATCTCCATCCTTAGGGGTTTTCTGGTTTTTTTTTACAACCCAATAACATATGAATGCTTCCTTGATCAAAAATGAGGTGGAAGCTTGTATACCACAGTTATGGAATAATTACCTGAGAGGTATAGGGCTTTATTAACAACATTTGTTCCATAGGTTGCTCCTGCTCTTTAAAAATGAAAGAGACTTTTAACCTTCAAAACTTGAATGCAACTACAATGACCATTTATATCATAATCTGTCACAATTCCTTAAACTAATTTCTCATCTGTGCTCAGGGGCACAGCTGGGGGCAGGTGCAGTGATGCAGTTGTTCCCCTTCCTCCTCTCCCCACAACTGTGATTTCTGCTCCACCCAAATTTTGAAACCAACTGCTTAGGAGGGGTAGCAACCTTTCTATTCAGGCAGTTCTGAGAGAGTCAATTTAATCCAGGGCTCATTATCATCTGCCT